CCTTCGGCGATTGCGGCGACCACTCGTTTCTCCGTTTTCTTTTTCAATTTTTAGTTCGACCAAATAAGTTTTCATTTTGTGAAATTGTCATGCTCGAGTTAAAAAACGGGATTAACTTCTTCCCAAATCGGGCTGGATTGCTAAACAATGCGTGCAAAATAATTATATGTATAAATTGTTGTAATATTATATTAATATTATAATAAAATTGTTATATTATAATAATATTATAGTAAAATTGTTATAATATTATATTAATATTATAGTAAAATTATTGTAATATTATATTAATATTATAATAAAATTGTTATAATATTATATTAATATTATAATAAAGTTGTTATAATATTATATTAATATTATAGTAAAATTGTTGCAATATTATATTAATATTACAATAAAAATTGTTATAGTATTATATTAATATTATAATAAGAGAAGAATAATATTACAATAGAAAAGTTAAAAAGTGCGATTTTTTGCAAAAATTATATTACGCGTCGTCTACCAGACTAAACCGTCTGAAAATAATGAAAATCGCTCGATCCAATTTTAGAAAAATCATTTCCACGTGTGTACGTAACATTTGTGTCCGACTGTACGTGCTAGAAAAATTGCAGCTACTCCGGCAAAACGTACGTTCGATCCGATATGTCCTGGAGTTAACGAACGCGAGAAATAGTTACGCGGATAAAAGCAGCTTTCGCGGAACATTAAAAAAAGAAAAAAAAAGAAAACTGTATAAAACAGGATTAAACGTTCCCATTCGAGTTTTCAAAATAAAGTAAACAGCTTCCGCGCGCGTCGCGCCCATTGTAATTTTCTGCCGCTGAAATAACGACGCCTATGCGAAGGACAGTTTCGAAAGTTCGCGTCGCCCCCGTCGCCTCGTTTAAAATCTATTACAACTTTAAATTTCCATTGGAAATCTGTTGTTATTAAAAATTTGTCGCGATCAAGCCCCGGGTACCGCGAACGACCGAATTTAACGAAGCCGCTTCTCTCGCTCGTTCGATTATTAATTATACTATTATATCATATTATAATATTAACTTTATTATTATATTATAATATTATTATTAATTTAATTTATCTACAGGCTGTCCCAAAAATGTCTCGCAATCCGAAAGCAGGGGATTCCTGAGGCGATTCGAAGCAACTTTTTCCTTAGCGAAAATGCGATCCGCGGCTTCGTTTACGAGTTATCAACGAAAAACAGTGTGCCAATCGGCGGTGAGATCGTTTGGCGCGTGATGGCCGGTTCAATAAGCGGAACCGGGCTCCGCGCGCTCGTTGGCTGGGCCGCCGCGCGCTAGCCGAGCTCGCCTCTCATTGGTCACTGTTTTTCGTTGATAACTCGTAAACGAAGCCTCGGAGAAAATTTTCGCAAAGGAAAAAGTTGCTTCGAATCACCTCGGGAACCTCCCATTTCCGAATTGCGACACATTTTCGGGACAGCCTGTATATCATTTTTATTAAAACGCGAATAAAACGGAAGCAGATCGTCCGGCAAATTCTGAAAGCTTCGACGAGCGAAACGCGTCGCGGATCCGTTCGGCGAATCGATCGCGCGTACGGTTTCCGCTCGTCGACGACGCTTCGCCGGAGGATATCGATCGCGCGCCGCGACTCGAGAGCAAACTTTCCCTCGGCCGTGTTTCGTCCCCTGCTTCCCGAAGGAGCGAAGAAACCGCCTGTCTCGGCTCGTCGAGCCGAAAACTCGCGCGTATCGCGGGGTGGTTTGCCGGTGGAAAGCCGGCTACAGGAAGAGGACGGAGCCGATTTCGGATCACAATAGGCGGAGGGAAACGCGCGAGGATGCATGAACGAGCCGGCGAACAAAAGGCGCGGCTCGACGCGCCGACGGAGCGACTCGGCGCCGAAACGGCCGTCCGCGACGATTTTCCCCAATTTTCTCGGAGTCGGCACGAATCCACGATCCCGGTCGATATTCTTTCCTTTTCTCTCCCGGGAACTCGCGTTTTCCAGCCGCCCTCCGCGGCTCCGCTTTCGACACTCGTTTTCGCGCTGTTCGGGAAAAACGAGAAGCTCGATTAGATTTTCTCGGCGAACGATCACGATTTATTCCTCGTTCTCGAAGCGATGCCGAGAAAGATAGCTTCATCTTTTTACAAACGAATCGAATCGATCGGTTCTAGAAGGATCTTTGGTCTCGTCGCAAAGGCGTCGCAACGAAGTCGAAGAATTATTGGGAATTTTGGCGTTCGATCATTTGCACTCGAACGTCGCCGTTTCAGTTGCCATTGTTTCCGAAATTTTTGTATAATAATTTTCGAATTTTCTTTATTATTAATTTCGTTATCCGCGCGAAAAGCTTGCTCGAACATGTGTCGTTTGTTCGAGCGTTTCCGTTGAAAGAGGATCCAACGAATCATTTATTAATTAATGGAATCATAAGATAAGAAACCGGCGCGGCGTTTCGACGGTGGCAAATTTATCGTTCCGTATCGTACAAGATATTTCCAGAATTTTATCTGTATGTTGTTCAGGAAATTTTGTGTCGAGTAGTGTCCCTGTCGCGTCGAGCCGGGACGCGGGAGTTCGCGAGTTATGGTCGCGGACGCGAAATTAGCAGAGAGAATTCGCTGAGTCGGTCGGTCGGTCGAGTTTTCCGGCGTGCAGATGCGACTCGAAGATCTCTCGTTCGGTCGCTCGAGCATAAATTCGGCCGTGAATGGGGCCTGATTAAAGCGAGACACTCGTGGGAAACCACTGACCTAGTCGCGTTCCGCCGGAGAACCGAGCAAACGGAAACGCGCCCGTTGGAAAACAATTAGAAACGGAAAAAGTCGGGCTTTGTGCGGGCCTCCCGTCTGTTTCCATCGGTCTTCCGCGTTTCCTCTTCCGCGAATTGTACCGGCCGAGCGGGATAATCTCTATTTGAACGCATCGCGCGGCTCTCGAGAGAGATTCCGCCTTCTCTCTCTCTCTCACTCCCTCTCTCTCTCACTCTCTGTCTCTCTTTTGCTCTCTCTCTCTCTCTTGCTCTCTCTCATTCTCTCTCGCTCTCTTTTGCACTCTCTCTCTCTCGCTCTCCCCATCTCTCTCGCTCTCCTGCTCTCTCGCGCTCTCTCTCGCACTCTTTTGATCTCTCTCTCATTTTCTCTCTCTCGCTCTCCTGCTCTCTTTTGCTCTCTCTCTCTCACAATCTCACTCTCTCTCTCTCTCGTTCCCTTTTGCTCTCTCTCTCATTCTCTCTCTCGCTCTCTCTCGCTCTCTCTTGCAAATAATAATAATAATAATAATAATAAAGGATCCGAAGAAGCGTCCAACAGGGAACGAAACGGGTCGAACACGTTCGGAATCCACGAAATAGGACGCGAAGGAGCAAAAAAAGTCCGGCTGAACTTTCGAACGTGCGGGAAGAAAAACAGGAAACGCCGAGATAAAAGTGCTCGACTTCGAATGCCGTATAACGTGCGCGCGCGCGAGCGAGCGAGCGATAATTCTTCCCGCTCGACCGACGAAATTGCCTCGCGAATCAACGGAAAAAGACGACGAGGAAGGTAAGAAAGGATATTCGCGAAGGGATTAGACGACCCCGGACCAGTTTCGAGAGGCAAGAAAGCGAGAGATGCCACGGGGCGCGCCGCGCCGGCATCGAGGAAACTATCGCCCCTGCACGATCCTCTCCCGCATGTGGCGCGGTATTTCTTGCGGCCCGCGATACCATCTTGTCCCGAGAAAAGATTTAGCGATCGCTTTAATTGGCGAACCGGTTCGCGAAAAACTCGTGCGCCACCGTCGCAATTTTAGGGAACGTTTCTCGGTGGCCGAGGCAGTTCCGTTCGGAAAGTAATTCACGAAATGTTAAAAGGTTATGACAAGGTTATGTCAAGGTTATATTTAACAATTTTTTGTGACAATTTTTATTTCATAGTTATTATATCGGTCTCGAGAATATACGTCTACTGGAAATCGTTGAATAAATTTATTTCTTCGGACTCGTAGGGTTCGGATTTAATTTTTAATATTGAACTGACAGTCGATTTCAAAAGTTTCCTCCCTTATTTCGAAGGGGGATCGCGAGCCTGAAATTTGCCGGAGTAGAAAGTTGCAAACGTAAGGGCTCTCTTCGGAGGCGAGTGCGTGAGAGGATTGCAAAGTGGCTGTTTAAGCAACCAGCTCGAGAGGCGCGAAGGAGCCTAAACGAGGCGAGGCGAGGTAAGGCGAGGTAAAAGACGAGGTGAGGCGTGGTAAAAGACGAGGCGCGAGGTACGGTAATGTCTCTTTAAATGACGCTCGGATCGTCCACGAAAATGGACAGTTTGGGAAGAGGACATACGATTATTCGAGCCTCGCGCCTCATTTTTATAATTGTCGACAATCGGAAGCTATAAAAACGAGCAGTTTTAATCCTCGCGAGAAACTTATTGGATTCGCGAGAAATATCGAAGTTCTGCCGCGGAGTTAAAGGACTTGTGAAAAGAAATCGTACGACCTTCCAAAGACTTGGGAGACCTGCGAACAAAATTTCATCCCCCGCAACAAATTATCGAGATAATTATTGCTATTAAAATAGTCGAACCTGGACCGTTGTTTTAGAGTCTGCGACAAACGTTACGAGAGCGTCGAATAAAAAATAGTACGGCCCGGGAAAAGAATTGGGAAGCTTGGGAAAACGTTCTACGGACTAGGTGATAAATTATGGAGCCGTAGGAAAAATTGCGACAACCGGGAAAGTATTCCGGTGCCAAATATTCGGAGAAATACGAGCGAATTAAGAAAACGGGTACTACGGCAATGTCTCTCTAATTGACGCTCGGGTTGTCCACGAAAATGGACAATTTGGGAAGAGGAGATGCGATTATTCAATCCTTGCGATTCACTTTTATAGTCAACAACTATAAAAACGAGTTGCAAGATTCGAATAATCGCATCTCCTCTTCCCAAACTGTCCATTTTAGCGGACGATCTGAGCGTCAGTAAGGGAGACATTACTGTATACAGATAAAAACGGCGAGAAATAGTCTACTCACCGAGCAGTATAGAAGCGTTCGCCCTCTGGACCAGCTTGTCAACGGTGTTCTTGAACTCCTTCGATTCTTTGATCCTGATCTGTGCCCGAGACACCTCGCCCAGCTTCGGTTTACCGAGGAGCGCCATCTTCTCTTCGGCGGTTCTCTCTTCCGGCTGCTTCATTTCCGCCGCGACTGCGATCCCTGCCTCGGCTAACAACAAACGGCAAAACCTTACTGACCAATCGATGAATCGCTGTTCTTACTCGCTACCGCGTCGGTGTATGGTCCGAGAAAAATTATTAGCATCGGCGCACAGTGGGCTGGATCGAAAAATTCAGTGGACATTCTGTTGTAACTTTTGAACCATCGAAGATATTGCAATGAAATTTTCACAAAATATGTTTAACAAATAGTTATTTTCAACTATAGATAATTAATTTCTTTTGCACTTGTTAAACAATAATTTTTAATTAATTTTCATTTTCGGTACGCGGATCGGCGGTCTGCGCGATCGATAGTTGCTCGATTAACCTTCGGATGGCGGGTCCATTTGGACCCGCAATTACGAACGTTCCATCTAAATTCTAATTTTACGGCAACCGCAAAATTATCCGCGTGTAATTATCAACTGCTAATATCGAAACTGATAAAGGGATTACATTTTATCTCGACGAAGAAGTTTCAACCTTCCGCGATCGAAGCTGTTTTAACTCGAAATCCAAAAGATGCTTTCCGGATCAACGGTTATTTCCATTTTATACGATGCAATTTATTCGACGCAATTTATGCATACGAAATTCAGCTTATTGGCAACTGCATTTTAATTGCGGTATTTACAAATATTGCAGTACTCGTTTGTATTTTGAAATGTAAATGAATCTGATACTGTTACAGTTACTTTAAAAAATAGTACAACAATTTTCAGCGACGCCGCTCGCTACCCATTTTATATACAGGGTGTCCCAAAAATGTCTCGCGATCCGAAAGTGGCGGGTTCCTCGGGTCGTTCGAAGCAACTTTTTCCCTGTCTCTTATACACATCTAGATGTGTATAAGAGACAGGGAAAAAGTTGCTTCGAACGACCCGAGGAACCCGCCATAGATGTGTATAAGAGACAGGGAAAAAGTTGCTTCGAACGACCCGAGGAACCCGCCATAGATGTGTATAAGAGACAGGGAAAAAGTTGCTTCGAACGACCCGAGGAACCCGCCATAGATGTGTATAAGAGACAGGGAAAAAGTTGCTTCGAACGACCCGAGGAACCCGCCATTTCCGGATTGAGAGACATTTTTGGGACAACGTGTATTTCCGCGCGAATCGAGCGGAAAAGTTGAATGATCGACGAGGTTGGCGAGAACGTTTCCCGTCCTCCACCTTTTGGCCGCGTGGCAAGAGCGACGACGGATCGATCGATGTCGCGATCCCTCTAATAGGACGCGGCATCGATCCCGTTCACGCGTTATACCCGCGGCAGTAACGCGCCGGCGAACATTTATGCTAATCCCGTGCGCCGCGTCCGACCATACACCGACCATTACCACTGCGCCGGGCATTTCCTTCGCAGAAGTGGCTTTGCACGTGCGCGCATGCAGTAGATACAGACGCTTGGACGCACACAGGAGAATCGTAGGCTAGCTGCGGAGCAATTTTGCCGATGAGACCGGAGTATGCGCGCCGGTGCTTACCGGGCTCTTTTTCCTGCAACATCGTTACAACTGCTACTTGCCGGGATTTACTAGCCAATGCTGCGTTCAATTACATAACAGCGTTCACGCGCTTCAACTTTCGCCCGGTGTTTCTATTTCATTCGCTCCCGCTTTCGTCTCGTTTCCTAATTAATTTACGCCTCCCCTCCGCTCCTCGCGTTTTTCATCGTCGCGACGCGACGCGGCGCTGCGCTCCTTCTCTGCGATCATTTCCGACAGCGTCGCTCATTTTTAGCAGAATCAGGATTCCCACAAAGTCAATTGAATTGATCGAAGCGAAAATAGAAAACTGAAATTTTTAACAATATTTTAACAGTGACATTTGCTTTGTGTCCGACGAGTGTACTCGTCATCGCTCGGAATTGTTGTACAGGATGTCCGAAAAGTTACTCGAGATTGGGAAACAGGGGTTCCCGAGGTCGTTTCGAGCAACTTTTACCTTTACAAAAATTTTCTACGAGGCGCCGTTTGCGAGTTATTAACGAAAAACGATGCACCAATGAGAGGCGAGCTCGCTGAGAGGCGGCTGGCGCGCGGCGACCGAGCCAACGAGCGGAACTGGGCTCCATGCGCTCATTGGCTCGGCCGCCGCGCGCCAACCGCCACTCAGCGAGCTCGCTTCTCATTGGTCAGCGTTTTTCGTTAATAACTCGTTAACGGTGCCTCGGAGAATGTTTTTGTAAAGGAAAAAGTTGCTTCGAATCACCCGAGGAACCCGCCAGTCGGATTGCGAGACATTACATATGTATGTAGGATGGATTAGGCTGGATTTAAATAGCCTATCTCGTCTGCGACGAGCCCCGGCACCCTAAATCGAGCACCTGAGCGTCGCGACTCGCGGACCTCGGTTTCGCTGAACAGGTTGGAATATTTCATGCGTTCTCTGATATCGTCGGCGCGATATCGGAGGTCGTGTCCTTGGCAGAGTAAATATAAACGTCCATTCGAGAAGAATCAAGAGCCGTCCTCCCGTTTAATCCAAGGTCGGATGCTTTTAGCGTCGCGCGGAGAACGGTCGGCTCGTTAAAAATACGAAACTCGTCGTCTGCAATCTGAATCTCGAATGTGTCGTACTCGCGTATCTTCGAACTTTCCGCACGTTTTATTTTCACACGGGACAGAAAAAAAGTCGCCGACCGAGTGCTGCGAAATCGTCTATCTCCGCGCCTTGAAATCTTGACCTTGTAAGAACCAGCAAACGAACCAAAATTGCAGGTTTTTTTTAAAGAGGATAAGAAGATTAGACAAATCTGAACGAGGGAGAAGATTCGGAAAGCGAAGGTTATATCGTTCAATTCTCGTCGACGGACAGACCGATTACACTACCAAATGAATAGAACTATGCGGGACGTTTACGAGACTATATGTAGGGTCCCGAGAGACCCGGCTGCCGCCCGGTGAACAAGGGTCAGCCGTAGGAAAAGCGGCGGAGAATTGAATTTCTCTGGCGGAAAGAACGATGCGAGTGACGGAAAATCGATGAGCCGGCTCTCTCGAACGTCGACGGAATGGCAGCGCGTGCGGTTAACTACCATGTTGCGTTAACCGACGCGACCAGACGAGGCGGAACGAGACGAGATGAGACGAGATGAGACGAGGCGACGCGAAACGATGCGACACGACGCGAGGCGAGACGACGCAAGCCGACGCGAGCCAACGCGAGGCGATCCGACGCGAGGCGATGCGAGACGAGGCAATGCTACGCGAAGCGATCCGACGCGAGGCGAGGCGAGTCGAAGCTAGTCGCGGCGAGACGAGGCAAGGCGAAACAAGACAAAAGAAGACAAGACGAAACGAAACGAGACAAGACGAGACAACGGGAAAAGAGCAGTGAAAGGTCCCGTCGAAATCGTGAGATCCGATGGTCGATGCGAACAAGACTGCCGGCAAGGAGCGGAGCGTAGTGACGAGGAGAGGAGAGGAGAGGGACGAAGGATAGGTCAGAGGGACCGCACGGCTCGGCTCGGCTCGGCTCGAGTGAGTCACGGTTCGAGGAGTTGTATCGGCAGAAACATAACATCGCGCGAATTATCCCCGGGAAAGCAGGCTCTCGCATACTTCCTATCGATTTTCCCATAAACCGCTTACACGAGGAGCAAAACATCCTCTCTTCCCTGATTCTCATCCTCTTCCTCTGACCAACCGAGAATTATCGCGTTCGAGACCTGGCTGCCGCACGCCGCACCGCGCGCCAAATCGTTCCCGTCGATTATTTCACGATAAATCGCGGCCAGATTAATGTTTCTCTAAAGTTTATAGTTAAGCGCTATATGTATGTACTTTATAAGTGGATCGCGGTCGCTGAATTTCATTGCGAGAAACAAGAGCTAAGTGGCGAGTCTCATCTTCAATTATTTTCGTAAGTTTGCGCGGGCGCTATTAACGATTCGGAGTTATTGTTCGGTGGACAGACATTTCCATCGACAGCTTCTCCTCTGGTTTGCCGACGGGACCAGACGAGGCGAAACGAGACGAGATGAGGCGAGATGAGACGAGATGAGGCGAGGCGATGCGACGCGGGGCGAGGCGACGCGATGCGAGGCGATGCGAGGCGATGCGAGGCGAGGCGATGCGATGCGATACGACGCGAGCCGATCCGATGCGAGCCGATCCGACGCGAGCCGATGCGACGCGAGCCGATTCGATGCGAGTCGATCCGACGCGAGCCGATGCGACGCGACGCTAAACTACTTGCCAAAATTTACCAAGAATAGATTTCGATAAGAACAGATTAGAACGCGAAACAAGTTGCAGTTATACATGAAATTGTTCCATTAAAGCTTCATTAAAGCAATACGATATTATTTTGTTATTATCGATTGGTTTAAGTTGTTACTTCCAATTGTTTGCAACTAAAGGATATCCCGAAATTCACGCAAGATTTAAATATTGCGCCATTTTGTGCGGTGAAGTGTTGCCAACGAAAAAAAAGCTGACAGTTCAGGGTTATTAAAAATGGTCGAGGTTATATTTTGAAAATAATGAGAGTCAATCCCGTTTCGGTGATCAGAATTGACTGTTCAGATTATGCGATTAACGTCGTGGGATTTTTTTTCTTTGCGGTTTCTCGACGTCTAAGGTTAACGCCAGCGAGCCCGCGACCAGCCACGCCTCGAGGAAGGAAATTGAGCGCCGTATCAACGAAATTCAGCCACGTTTATGTAAAACGGTCGTAGAAAATTTCAACAAAAGAGGTCATTTGCCCGATATGCTATTCCGTACATAACCTTGTACCGTATACTTTATGAATCGATAAAAAAATTTACAATTTTTAATCATAAACCCGTGTTCTCTATTAAAATTGCTTCTTGCATGAATTTCGGGACACCCGTTAGCTCGTCGAACGATCGACACGAGCGACGGGACGCGAGCTTGTGCAAATGACATTTGTCAAAACGAATTCACAACGTGTTCATTTTCGATACGAGCACGTGAAAATCGCAAGCTAAATATATAACAGTTTGTAACGGGTTGATCTAATTAAAATCTATTTATAAGAATTT